AGAGGACATCTGAATATTTGTATGTGTGAAGGTTTTTTCTGTCCTGATTATTTCTGCCCACCAGGCTCCGCCATCCTTCACCAGTGGCAGCAGCTAGCGCAGCCGCACCTGGGTGTGATCCTGGATGCCAGGCCCGGAGTGGTGCCGAAGGGCTACAGGCCCCTCGAGCTGGACCTGGAGCAGGTGTGTGTGTGTGTGTAAACAGTTGTTTACACATGGCCGTGACCCTGACCTCTTTGATGTGATGTCTGCAGGTGTACCCGTGGGGGGGTCTTGAGGAGGACGAACCAGGAGAGCAATACTTCCAGAATCTTCCCACCTCCTCGGCCTCTTCCTCACCAGCTGTGCCGCCCACTTCCAGCGTGGGCGTGGCCAACCTTGGACAGCCTCCCACCAGCCTCGGCCCTCCTTCCCCGCCCTCTCCATCACCGTCACCACACCTTAGCAACACGGACGCTCTGGGTGAGCTCACGCAGTACAGTCACAAGGAAGACCGGGGTTTGAAACAGGAAAAATTATTTTAGCTGATCATGAAAATGTTGCAAATTCACAGGCGTGTAATAAATATTAGGTTTAAGTGCTGATCATGAATCCATCCATCCATTTTCGGCCGCTTACCCGGAGTCGGGTCACGGGGGCAGGAGCCTAAACCGAGACGCCCAGACTTCGTTCTCCCCACCTACTTGGGCCAGCTATTCCAGGGGAATTTCAAGACGTTCCCTGGCTAGCCGTGAGACTTGTGGGCCATTCCCATCTGTACCGGGTCGGCCCGGGCCGGGTAGCCCCAGTCGGCCCCAGCCTGGCCCGGTTGATTCCTCACATCCTTGCCTTAAGCCCATGTGGGCTGATTCTACCCACCAATCAGAGGCTTGCTCTAATGGAAGGTGTGAATTTGCTGTCAGCAGTGGGTGTGTTGGCCCTGGTCGGCCTGAAGCAGACCCCCTCGAGAAGAGGGCTGAGAATGAGCCTTGGTTGGCCCGGAAAAATACCAGGCCACCCAGATATGTAAACAACCTACGCTACCCGGCCCGGGCCGACCCGGTACAGATGGGAATGGCCCAATAGTCCGTCCAACGTGTCCTGGGTCTTCCCTTGGGTCTCCTCCCAGTTGGACGTGCCCTGAAAACCTCCCCAGGGAGGAGTCCAGGAGGCATCCTCATCAGATGCCTGAGTCACGTCAACTGGCTGAATTTAAAGGCACTCTTAGTAGTTTTAGCTTGTTTTTAGCACTCCCTAAAGTCTGTTATTAATTCACCAAAATCGAAACTCTCCGCTGTGCATTCGTCTTTTTAGCACCTTAACAGAACAGCTGAAAAGTCTCCTCAGCCTTCATTAGTTTCTACAGGAGTGGTTCATCTCTAAATCAAACAAATAATGTAGTTCTTGATCTAAAACACACAGAAATCATGTGCTGGAACCACGATCCAGTGTTGGCACGTAGTTCCACATTACTAAGACTAACAGGGACTGGTCCGGACACTCTGAAGTTGCAAGTGCAGTGTTCTGGCCACAGGGGCTGGTGAAGTCTGAGTTACTTTTCATTAACCCTGTAAAGGCTCATTTTAGTACATACTGGCTCAAGAAGTCACTTAAAAATATGAAAATGTTGCGTAGTGTCCCTTTAAGGCATCATGCTTATTATTGACCATGGCGTCTCTGGGTTTCAGCGACGTACTTCCCAGGTAAATGCATGGCCCACACCAGCTCCACCTACACCTTTACAACCTGTCGGATCCTCCATCCAACAGATGAGCAGACCCGGGTCACACCGAGGTAAGACACTCTGCACTGCTCCGATTCATTCACTAGTTCAGCTTTTCCACCAAAACCAGCACATCGGGATCCTGATCGTCCGCATTTGGCTACAGCCTTGCATAAATATGTCACTGACTTATTGTCTGCTCTCTGGCAGGAGGGGGGCAGTTGCTAAATAATACATGTAGACGGTCCAACACTCTGCTGTCGTGTAGGCTTCTTTAATGCTGATAAAGGGGCCAGAAGTTCTGCAACTTCCTATTGTTTTCAAACATTCTAGTTTAAACTCCGTCCCTGCATTTTCCTCCTGTGTGATGTCTCTGCTGGGAACTCCTGCTGCTACTCCATGCATGCCTCGAAGGCTCGGCCTCAGGCCCTCTGAGTCCTCAACCAACCTCAGGCAAGGCACCACATACGTTACATTTATTACAGTCTGATGGATATTAATGTCTCACCGTTGACTCATTCATGTAGAGATGCAACACGCACCACCAGCACCTCCCTGGGCTTAGTGCGCCTTCTCCAGGAGAGAGGCATCTCAGCAGCTATGTACCACCAGAGCCAGGGCCTGGAGCACAATCAAGGCAGTGGAGGAGTCCTGCTCAGCACCTCTATCACCCCAAACCGAGCGTCCAATCCCAACCCTCTGCACCCGTCGACCCCTCCAAACTCCCCCACGAAACCGGGCACCTCGTCTGTGCCGACCTCTGCAGGCTTCGACTTCAAGAGCCCGTCCTATGACAACTTCCTGGCCTCCAAACCGGCGCGTTCCATCCTGAAGGAGGTGACGGGGCCGAGAGGCAGACAGAGAGGGAGGGACTGTGAGAGCCAAACGGACGTTAGCGTGACTGTCCATAACCTGAACCTGCTGGACAAGGTGAAGCGACTGGGTGTGGCTGGAGCTCCTGGGAGCAGGGTGGTGAGTGCAGGTCCGATCCTGGGGCCTTTGGGTGGCCTACGCAGGTCCGGTTCCCCTTTTGGGGCGGATGGCATGAGGAGGAATAGAAGTTATCCAGCTGTGGTCGGGGCCAGCATGGCCATGAAAGCCCCGGGGCCTCAGGAGTAGTCTGGACTACTGCTAGCTTAATAAAGACAGGGATGGCTGCTGAGCAGTCACACACACTAAATGTTTTATAATCCATCAAAAACTACATCCACTGCTGGTTTCCTGTCACTGTGTTGGTTCTGCACCAGTGCTATCCACTCCATGGCTTTGGAGAGGTCACTGAAGCTTGAATAATAATAAAACTCCCTGAAAGATTTAAAACCTGACACCTTTCTTCTCTCTTTTCTGAGACGTTTCTTGTTTTGTTTTACTGAATAGCATTCAGTCCACCAGCATGATTTTAATATTATTCTCTTAAGGGCTCCCTATCCTGCTATTTTAAACCTCTGAGGGCAAAGGTAGTAAATGTCATTCGTTTGAAATACAAATGATTTTCATCAGCCTGACTTTATACCCAGAAATAAAATGCTTTGTTTCAGTGAAACTCCGCCCACGCACGCTTCCACAAAAGGTGCTTGCAATAGGCACGTCAGCAGCTGTATTGGCTTTGGTTGTCCAGTGATTCAGGTGTCCAGTCTGGCACTCTAACCACTGGACTACCAAGTCTGCTACATGACACCAGTCACATCTGTGCTGGCCAGGGGAGACAGGTTTCAGACTAGAGACTAGCTTCCGGGAGAGCAGGGCCCGATGACGAGACTAGTTTCCATTGATAGTCAGACAGCAGGAAGGCATTGTCTGGTGCCCAAAATACTGTTTATACAGGGTATCTGCAGGTCCTTAAAAAGTCTTAAAAAGTCTTAAATTAGCTTTTCCAAATTTAAGGCCTTAAAAATCCTTAAAAATGACAAATAATCCTTAAATAGATTCCAAAGGTCTTAAATTACCAAAGACCCAATAAACAAGATTCTTTTATTTCTATAAAATTTTCGTGAATTTCTAATTAGTTTGGCATTTTTTGTGTACGATACTGGCGTAAGTGGAACCGTACACATTCGGTTGGTTGTGAAAGGGGGCTATTTTTAGATGAGCATGCTAGTGGGAGTTTGCGCCATGGGGAAGACATGGCAACATTAATGGTAACTGGATGGCTAATCCCACATTCACGACGTGGTTAGCACCGGTTCCAGGCAATAGCTGGAAATTATAGCTTAAATTTAATTTTAAAAAATAGCTTAAATTTGGTCAAAGTGGCCTTAAAAAAGGTCTTAAAAAGTCTTAAATTGGGCTCCCTTACACCTGCAGATACCCTGTTATAAACAGAACAGCTCAGCTAGAGAAAGAGATTCAGGTACAATATGAAACAGACGCTCTTCCTGCTAAACAGCAGGTTGAACGTCTTCACGAGGATCTTGCTAAAGAAATGACTCAACAAGTGATGGAAAACCTAAGAATGGAAAGAGACGCTCTGAAGAAAAACGCTTGTAGGAAGTCCTTTGAAAAGCCAAAGGAACCAGAGAAACAGCTGAAGACACGTCTCAGAGATACAAGAGCAAGCCGTCAAACTTATGTAGTGCCGAGTCCCATAATGGCAGCGATGTCTGATGTCCAAAATTCTGTTTATGAACAGAGAAAAGCTGGGCTAGGGGAGGAGGTCAGAACAGTGTGAAGCAGACGTTCTTCCTGCTAAACAGCAGGTTGACCACCTTCAGCAGAAACTCGATCACGAAGCCCAGAATCATTCAGGCACCACAGAGAAGAAAGACAGATAAACTCCAGAAAAAGAAGGGTCATCAGTGGTCATTTAACCCTTACATCTTCGCTGTGCGATGTTTTATACGTAGATGCACTTCACCCCCACACAAGTCCTGCCCTGAACGCGTCACACAAAAGTGTTTTAATTAGAGGTCTGCTCGCTCGCCACTTTGCTTTTAGGATCGTCGTTCTTTCAACTGAACTGAAGTTAAACTTTATCATCATAAGGCAAACTTGGTCAAAACTTTGTGGAAAAATGTTTGATTAAGCTTTGGTAATTGCTATAAGGGCGTCCCGTCCCTCACACACACACACACACACACACACACACACACACACACACACACACACACACACACACACACACACTAAAAATACCATCATATGTTCGTGTAGATCAACGAGTGTGTGTCCAGGAGGGTCATGACTACCTGAACACAGGCTGCACACCACGTCACCAGACAGAAAACACGTCACCTGTTCAGGTGATTCTGTGTGACCTTGTGTTACACGGGGGTTTTCACACACACACACACACACACACACACACACACACACACACACACACACACACACACACACACACACACACACACACACACACACACACACACACACACACACACAGAGATTAAATAAAGTTAATCCAGAGTACACATATAAGTAAAAGTAAAAACTCAAAAAGGTTTTAGCCCACAAAGAGTTTTTTTGTCTTAACTTTTACAAAAATGAAAATGAACATCAGAATGATTCTCTAACAAATGCTTTTGTCAGGTTTAAGCACCTAAGACACCAAATAACAACACAATACAGGGAAAGAGACACAAAAGTCAGAATTCTGTTTAAGCTCGAGGAGAACTGAATAAGGCCACACCAACCCAGTCTCCACTGAGCTGACCCTTCCTCAAACCATTCTGGCCTTTGAAATCCGAGCACCTCTATTTATTACAAGTTTGGGAGCTTCCTAGTTACATGCCTGAGAGCTGATTCTGAAGGGAGGGGGAAAACTCAGCTCTCAGTTTTTAATTGTTGCAAGTTTCACACAAAGAGCATTCATTATTACACAAAGAACTTTCAGTGTCTCATCACACGATGAGTAGCAGACAGTTTGCACGAGTCAGCAATTGACAGAACAGCAGATCTCCTCAGGTCATCCTTGGGTCACATTAGGTCAGATTTTAACACCCTTAAAGTCTCATGAGCAACTGTTTAAGCATAAATGAAACAATCTTTACTTGTAATAAAAGAATAAAACATGATAATTGAAAACATGAATAATAATTCTGTCAGCTTTCATGTGTGAGACGTGCACTCTGAGCTACTGGACTGAGTTTCATTCCAGCATCATTTACTTTAGGACTATGGGACACAATCTGTCCCAGATTCTGTCCAGTAAATCAATAATCCCCAGATTGGCATCGTTTTTTACTTGACTGATAATCACCACTGTTTATAACTCGATGATGCAGATCTGTGCTTCATTCAGTTGATTTACACAACAGAAATGTACGATTGTCTTTCCTCAACAGAACGGAGTCTGTAGTCTATTCTACACAATATTTCAATAGAAATAATCTGTTGAATTAATTATTTGAGTTTTCAGACCTCCAGCTTAATGTCTTCACGTGTGTATTCTGGTAAAGTCCACCTACTTAAATACATGAATGTTTCTCCACAGTTTTCAGTGTTGTGAGTTTGCGGGGTTTAAGATGTTGATCTCATACCTGCTGACAGTTTCAACTGAGGGCTTCAGCCTCCTTCAGAGCGTCATCTGACTTTTGGCCATTGTGTCATTTATCAGCTGGTCTGGGGGCGTGGTTCAATAATGGAGATAAGTCCGATGACGCTCTGAAGCCTCCAGTCGAAACTGTCAGCAGGTATGAGATAAACCATCTTTAAACCCGCAAAACGTTTGTGTTTAAAAAAAGAAATTAGAGTAATTTGATTTATAACGAAGACAAAATGAACTTTTTGAATCTACTAAGTGTTGTGAGTTTCCACGAGCCAACAGAATTATTTTAGATAACTCATCTCTGATCTTGAGCAGCAACAGTGATGCTCGTAAACGTTTAGACGGGCTAAAACTGTTATGCTGTTGGTGTAAAAAGCAGGAATCTGACCAGTTATCGTCTAGTCTCGGTTCGTCAGCAGAAACTCCTGCACATCTCGTCATGTTTTAGTCACCAAAGAGCCCATTTTAGCTCGTCAGCATCTCGTTTTCGGCGTCAACCAAATCAGTCATCGTTGATGAAAACAACACAGTATAGTAGATGTGTAAAAGAGTTTTAGAGACAAATACGTTGTTTTGGTTCTTTTCTTGCATCAAGGCAGCTTTAATGAATGATTGTCCTAATGGACGTATTAATAAAATAACAAGTCTGAAGTGTAACGTTTCAGTAAATATTCAGAACATCTGGAAGCTGAAATGCCTTTGTTTCTGCTGGTGTTGAAGTCCGGCTCACGTTTTAGTCCCTTCTGATATCAAATATTTGAGGCTTGTAGCGCACTTTAGTGGTGTGTGAACCAAGGCTGTGGGATCAGCAGCACTGACGGAAAGTGTCTGCCTCAAAAAGTCAGTGCGATGAGCCAGACTGGAACTGTGGGTGGTCACCATCAAAGACACCAAACAGATGAAAATCGGTAGCACAGCAGTAAATCCTATAATCCAGATGTTTTGCTCCGACCCAGCCTTTTCACTGGATGTGTATGCATCGTGTGAAGCAATAAACACGTTTTACCCGCAAGCTCCCATCCCAATCCCGCCGGGAGCATTTTAGAAGGGAATCTGCAGCAAAAGCGTTCCAAACTGCAAGGTCACAAAATGACCAACGACCTGCTAGACCCCACAAGACCTTAGGGGTTCACGCAGAAATGTTCAGTTCTGTATGGCTTAGCTACGGAGGTTTCACATGTAATGAAGAACTTGTTGACAAGCCGAGACTCTATGCAACATTCTGCTTCTGCCTGTCTCACAAAGACTTGTCATGGTCTGGGGAACGCGTCTAACCCAAGACATGCAGAATCACAACCCGAACACAGAATGATGGAAAATATACATTTATTGTAAAAGGGAACCTGAAGGTGCACTGGGAAGTCCAGTGGGATTGAGAACGGGAGCGCAGCATCTGGGAAGGGGAGAGCAAATACGGATGAGTCCAGGGAGGCAAGTCTTAACTAGGAAGGTGCAGAGAAAAGACTTACTGGGAGTTGAGGGGAAACACTGGAATGAGGGGTGTCTCTGCTCCCTCAAGCCAGTGTCTCCATTCTTCAATGGCGAGTTTTACTGCAAGAAGCTCTCTGTTACCCACGTCGTACCTACTCTCTGCAGGGGTTAAACGACGTGAGAAAAAGGCACATGGATGAAGACGATGGTCAGATGGAGATACTTGTAACACCGCGCCAACCCCGGTGTCGGAGGCGTCCACCTCGAGAGTAAACTGTTGTAGGGGGTCGGGTCGGTAGCATTAGTGAATCTCCTTTTCAGACCCTGGAAAGCAGATTCGGCTTCTGGGGAACAAACAAAAGGTTGATTAATAGAAGTTACGTTGGTCTATGGGGCAGCTGTCTAGTT